GGCAGCCCACTGCAGCCCCACTGTAGCCTATGCTGTCGCTGGTGACTCACGGCAGCCCAGCTCCAGGTTGAGCTGTTGTTCACCATCTTAGCTGTAGAGGGCGCAGCATCACTGGCCCATGTGGGATCCTAACTGGGGACCTGCTGCTCAGAGCTGGTGTCCAAAGCCAGTTCTTAACCAACATGCCACTCAGCCAATCCAGGAGTTGTATTCTGAAAGTATTTAGTGCTGATCTGTCATGATGTGTACAATTTTCTTTCAAATAGTTTACAAGAAAAAAATAGCTTACAAAAAATATATAGTTTACACACACACAAACATAGACATAAATAGCACATATTTATACCATGTACTGTCCAATAGGGTAGCCGCTATAGCCCCATAGAACTATTTACATTAAAAGTTAATTTAAAATTTACAATTCAAATCCTCAGTCACCTTAGCTGTATTTAAAGTGCTCAGTAGCCACATGTATTTGTATGTCATGGCAATGCATTGGATAGCATTAGCATACATTTTCATTATCACAGAACTTCTCTTGAATCGTACAGATATACCCACATGGAGCAGGGATAAAACCAAATGGTGGCAAAATGATAACAGTTGGTGAAGAGCATGCAATTATTTATCCTATTCTTTCAACTTGTCTATGAATTGGGAATTTACTTCAAAATAAGACTACTAGCTGCAACATGTGGTCCTAGATTGGGTCCTATACCAGAAAAATTTTCTTTTCTTTTTTGCTATAATGGACAACGATGGGACAACTTGAATTTGAATAAGTTCTGTACATTAGATAATAATATTAAAAATGTTACATTTCCCGATGTAGATAATTATACTATGGTTATATTAGAAAATGTCTTTGTTCTTAGACATACACACTGAAGTATTTAGGAGTAAAGGGGCACAGCATCTACAACTCGCTCCCAAAGTTTCAGGAAAAAAAAAAAGTGTATGTGTATGAGAGAGAATCAGGAAAGAAAGAATAATAAGGCAAATATAGTAAGTTAATATTTGGTGATTCTGGGTGAAGGGTTTATAGAAATTCTTTGTATTATTCTTGCAACTTTTCTAAAAACTTTGCTGAAATTATGTCAAAAAAAGAAAAGAAAAGAAAAGGAAAAGGGAAAAAAACCCACCAAACCTATGGAATAAAGTTAGAGGACAGGAAAGGAAACATCATGACAGAATTCAAAGAATTGCCCTGGGAGCTGTGAGACATGCTTCCAGGCTGAGCTCTGGCTCGGACTAGTTCCAGGATTTTGGATGTTATTTCACCATCCTGGGTCTTAGTGGGCCTATTTATTAATAAGTAAAGGGTTTTAATTTATTGATTTCAAAGAAACCATGTAGCTTAAAATCATAGAACCCTAATTATACCTAGTCCATATACATATATAAAATCTTTTTTTCCAGTTAAGGGCCTGCATGCAGAGCCACCCTCACCCCACCAGGTGGCCTCAGTTAACCTTGGTCTATGTGTAAAGTATTAAAGTTTTCTACTCTGAGCCACATTGCCCAGCACCACGACTTTTTTTCCCTAGTACTATTCCTTGTTGCTCCTGAATCTTAGCCACAACTTTTGTTGTTGTTGTTCTTTGACTTACTCTTTACTGTTCTTTTGGGCCGGGAGAAGACAGGTATTGCTAATAACAACAGTCCAGAGGTGGGTTTGCCCTTTGCCAAGCTGTGGACCCTTATAGGACTGTCACCTCTCAGAAGGGTCTGGGAGGGAGAGATTTGCTAACTCTGGACAGAGGGGAGCTCAGACTAGGACCATCTTGCCATCATGGGTAAGGAACGCCAATCATATGCTCTGATTTGGGGCATAGGATAGAAGACGTCTGTATGTGTTTCATCTCTGGCTAATATAAGCTCTAAGAGGAGCTTGTCTAGCCCTAGGTGGCTCCTTGCTTAGCTTGTGCTCTCTGAGTCCCTGGCTTGCTGGTGCCAGGTGAACATCAGAAACGCTGTCTGCCACACAAAGGATATGAACAGAAGAGGAAATGCAGATGCTTAACAAGCCCATGGACAAAATATTCAGTCTCACTAGTAGTTGAAGACATGCAATAGGACAAATAAAGTCTGGTAATGGCAGACAGAATGGCATGGAGTCAGGATGCCTTGGGTGTACACCCTGGCTTGAAGCTGTCTGGCTGTGTAGCCTGGGGCAATGAGCTGGCTTTCCCAAGCCTGTTTCCTCCTGGGTGAAACTGGAGTAATGATATATTCCCTGCCTCATAGGTTTGTTGTCAGGATTCAGTTAGATAATGTGTGCAGAATACTCATACAGTGATTGTAATTAGTGCTCATTAAATCTTAGTTATTAATATTTATACTATTTTTTTTAAAGATTTTTTTTTATTGGGGAATTGGGGGATGGGAACAGTGCTGGGGAATTGGGGGAAGGGGAACAGACAAGTTGCTGTCTTTTTTTTGTTCTTCAGTCTAGTTGTGGAGGACAAGTTGCTTCACTGGCCCAAGTTGGCACCATTATTGCGCTCTTCCCGGGTGAGGCAGATCAGTCGCCAGCTTCTGGACAGCAGCTCACGCTGGCTGCTGGCCACTCACGCTGGCTGTTGGCTACACATGGTAGCCCGTGGCAACCCACTGCAGCAGGGGCTGCAGCCTACGGCCGTCGCTGCCAACTCACAACAGCCCAGCTCCAGGTTGAGCTGTTGTTCAGCATCTTAGCTGTAGAGGGCAGTGTCACTGGCCCTCATATGGGATCCGAACTGGGGCCCTCTGGCATCCCAAGCCAGCTCTTAACCAATGCGCCACTCGGCCGGCCCGATATACTATTTTTTTTTAACCAATATGATTTGCAAAGAGTGAAAATTATAGTACTCAGTGTTACGCAGTGTTTGGTGAAATGAATGTATTTCTATAGTGCTTATGGGTTTCTACATGAGTTTACCTTTTTGAAAAGGAATTAAAGTTTTAAGAACTTTAAAAAATGGTCATATCCTTTGGAAGAATACTCAGAAATGCATGCAAATATATACATTCATGGTAATTTTTCCAGAGTAAAAAATTGGAAGCAATCTATTCATCAGTGAAAGAATAGTTAACTAAATTATGGCATATCCTTATAATGGGCTTATATTGCAGCCTTTTAAAATGGAATTTTTGGGGAGAAGAATTTTTAAAGAATTGGGGACATAAAATATGAAAGTCTAAAAAGTCTGGATTTACCAACATCTTATTTTTAGACTAGGAGTGATTTTTGTTTCTTATGCTTTATATATATATAATCTCACATTTACAAAAGTAAGATTTTTTAGAATCAGGAAAAAACAAAATTTGTCTTTTAAAAGAAACGGCAAAAAAGAGGGAGACCATCTGCCACAGGGGGGCAGCTGGGAGCCCTCTGACTCATTCTTGACTTTTTCTTTCTTTCCCATCCAGTGGTGTCAGCAAAGCCCAAGGTACATAATCGCCAACCTCGAATTAACTCGTTTGTGGAAGTGGCAGTGGATGGACTCCCCAGTGAGACCAAGAAGACTGGGAAGCGAATTGGGAGCTCCGAGCTTCTCTGGAATGAGATCATCACTTTGTAAGAGCAAGTCCCTTCTCTTTGAATGCAGTAACACAGGGGAAAGAGAGAAGGCGCTCCAAGGGGCTTGTGGGAGCCCCAGGGTTCCTGTGGAGCCCCTGACTCTTCTGCCTTTGGTACCCGAGGCACCTTTCTTTAGGCGTTTCCACATCACTGAGCTCACAGAGTGTTTATTATTAGCTAGGTGGTTACAGGGGCAGCCTTGTGGGGGAAAGGGGATATGTGAGTGTCTTCCTGTTTGGGCTTTTCCCTCTACCCAGACGTCAACAGTATAGTTTTTCGGTTTGCTTCTAAGTGATAGGAGTAACTGTACTGCTTGGATGTGATGTATCAAGTGTTTGTTTTCCAGGAATGTCACGGCCCAGAGTCATTTAGATTTGAAGGTCTGGAGCTGCCATACCTTGAGAAATGAACTGCTAGGCACCGCCTCTGTCAACCTCTCCAATGTCCTGAAGAACAATGGGGGCAAAAGTACGTATGATGACGGGGTGGCTGATGTGGTTCATTTGTGGGGGAGGCATGGATTTCTCTCAAACATGGCAGATAATCCTGGTGATGTCGTGTNCATGTTGGTATGATCATTGTGCTCTTCCCCGGTGAGGCAATAGGTCGCTGGTCATTGCTCACACCGGCTGCCGGACGCTCACGCTGGCTGCCAGCCACTCACATAGCTCACGGCAGCCCACTGCAGCCCTGCTGCAGTCTACGCCGTCACCAGCGACTCACAGCAGCCCAGCTCCAGGTCGAGCTGTTGTTCACCATCTTAGCTGTAGAGGGTGCAGCGTCACTGGTCCTAATGTGGGATTCGAACCTGCTGCTCAGAGCTGGTGCTCCCAAGTGAGCTGTTAACCAGCTGAGCCACTCGGCCGGCCCTGACCCCCATTTCTCATCTTCCATTGCTCTCCCATGTTTACCACATCTAGTCACATGACCTCCTTGCAATTAATTGCCTATACTAGGCACATTCTCACCTCTGGGCCTTTGCACTTGCTGTTGCCTCTGAGTGAAGTGCTTTTGGCCCAGCTATCTACCTGGTTTGCTTCCTTCCTTTCTTTAGGTCTTTACTCAAAAGTCATCTTCTTCAACCAGGCCTTCCTGATCTCCCCATCTAAAACCCCCATCCCCCCACCCCCGACTTCCTCATGTCTATCCTCTCCCCTCCTTTATGTTTTCTTCTCAGCCCTTGTCACTGTTTAACATACTACACATTGTGATCTAATTCATTTAATGACTATCTCCTTCAATAGAATATAGGCACCACAATTACAGGAAGTTTTGTCTGTTTTGGTTACTTTGGACTCCAATGACTAGAACAGTGCCTGACACGTAGCAGGCCCTCAGAAAATATTGCTTGAATGAAAGAATGTTGCTTCAGAAGCTTCAGCTCTGCTGAAGAGTCCCGAGACTGGGAGATGCCTAAGGACAGGGGAACAGGACTCAGTGTCTGAGCTCCGGCCTCAACATGGTCATCCTGAGGCTAAATTGTATCTCTTGGCAATAGTTTTTGTTATTGTTGCAATGTAAATGGTATTCATTTTTTAAGTACATTTGTGTACTTTAAAATTCTTTCTTTCCTCTAGCCCCTCAGTGCCTCTGCTTGGAGGAAACCAGTATTATCTGTTTCTTGTATGTCCCTTTCAAGATACGTCAGAGGGGATGTGTTGTAATTTTGAGAGCCAGGTTGCCTTCCTTGGAAGGAATGCTCTTCTAGCAGTGTGTCAGAGTGCCTGTTTCCCCACATCTTTACCAACACAGTGTATTACACAGACGTTTATCTTTGCCAGCCCGATGGGTAAAAAGTTGTTTCCTCAGCATAGTTTGATCTTGAGTTTTTTTTATTATAGCGATGTTTAGCATCTTATCATATGTTTCAGGGAAATTTATAGTTTCCTTTTCTGTGCATTGCCTGTTCATATTCTTTGCTTCTTATTGAGCTATTGATTTTTTTTTATAGTCTTGATACTTGTAAATTATTTTTCTTGGCCTCTCATTGCTGCTCCAGCCCTTTTGAGGAAGGAGAAGGATTAGAGTGAACTGATAGGGTTTTGAATTTGGGACTACAGCCTTCACTACTTTACCTATAATTGGCAAGCCTGGGTCAAAACAGAAGACTGCCCACGGAACCTGGTGACATCCTGAGGTCCCTGTTCTGGGTCCATATTATTCAGGAACACACACTGACTTCTAACAGATTTCTGTGTTGCCTTTCTTCAGTGTGAAGTTTCTTACTAGTATAGAAAGAGCTAACTTGATAATATAAGTGCATCTCATTATATATGCATTTAATCTATAGGGATTTGATAACCCCATCCAGGAAAATGGTGGGGAGAATGAGAAAGAGAGAAATAACAATTTAAATAGTGTAGGTGGTTCTTCCTCCCCTACATTTCACTGATAGAGCCTACAGTGTAATTTGGGAGATGCTACTGTGCTGTCCCTTTGCCTCTGTTCCCTCGTGCCTCTTCATAGTGCAATCCTAGCGTTTTTAGATACACTTTTTAAATACATCAAGGCCCTACAACTATTTTAGCTGGTATTTAATGCAAGAAACACTGAAAAACACAGTACAACAAAGCAAAAAACTGGCTGTTTGAAACCTATTGAAAGATAATATGTCAGACTTCATTCTGGTCCCTTCCTAAGAGCTTATCAAGGGTATAGTTTTGGTGATATGTGATTTTTTTGCCTTATTTGTTGACTTTACAACCTAAATCCTATGTGAAGATGTGACTCCATGTATAAGAGACTGGCATTTATATTTCATCAAACAGTAAATACACTTCTAGGTAAACTTGCTTGTATCTTGAAGCCTTTATTTTGGCTCATCTTTTAGAAAAAGAAACATTCAAAATATCACCCTGCTGATTTTTTATAAATTACAGAGGGGAAAATGGATCTTTATAGTGGAGAGATCTGGCTGAACCCACATTAACCAAAGGATCAAACTTAGCATCCCCAATAGGACAACCTTGTTGGTGTGTGTAATAAGTGTGTGAGTATAATGCAACCTATATTGACAAGAATGTTCAATGTGAATCTAATCATGAAGAAACAATCAGAAAAATGCAGAATTTGGCCCATTGTAGAAGACAGCTGGTAGCAGTCTTTAAAAATAAATTTTAATGGAATAAAAGAATAAACAAAGAAAGAAAAAACAAAAAATAACAAAAAGAAAAGAAAACAGAAATCATTGTCATGGAAAAAGAAGGGAGAGTATTCTAGATTTTAAAAGGTTAAGGAGACAACAACCAAATGTAATTTGTTCATCTTGATTGGGTCCTGAGTTGGGGAAAAACAGCTATAAAAATATGTTTGGAACAATTGGGGGAATTTGGATATGGAATGAATATCAAGTGATGGAGGAATTGTTTTAGGTAAAATAATGGCGGTGTGGTTAGGTGAGAGAATGTCCTTATTTTTAGGAGTCTTTTTTTTTTTTTGAGAGGGAGGGGAACAGTGTTGGGGAATTTGGGAAGGAGAACAGACAAGTTGCTGTCCTTTTGTTCTTCAGTCTAGTTGTGGAGGACGTCACTTCACTGGCCCATGTTGGTATTATTGTGCTCTTCCCGGGCGAGGCAGATTGGTCGCTGGCCACTGGACGGCCACTCACAGCGGCTCTTGGCAGCTCACTCCGGCTGCCAGCCACTCATGGTAGCTTTATGGCAGCCCACTGCAGCCCCACTGTAGCCTATGCTGTCGCTGGTGACTCACGGCAGCCCAGCTCCAG